AGCCATGCTCTAAAAATTTCAACTATACGGAATTCCTATCATTATTGGTACTTTGAGGCTTCTAAGTGTTCTCAGGATTATAAAATTGCCTCTTAGCAAAATACAATTTTTAAATTAACTGAGGCAAACAGATAACTGAAGAAATGCAAAATGGCTCCTGAGGCCTCTCCCCTCCCAGCTCCTCCGCCTCGACGAAGCTGCCCGGTGCCCGGCAGCCTCCCTCCACCTTCTTCGGCCCCTCCTGCTCCGCGTGCACCTCCTCCCTGCCCTCTGCTGCCTTTTCCTGGTTCTCTCACTGAGCTGCCTTTTTACCTAAGCCTCTCCCCCTCCTTCCGCTCTGAGCCCGTCAGAACCTGCCCATGTATCTGACTTCCGTTTTATGCTGAGCCGCAGTTGATTAACGATGCTGTGTTAGGTTCAGCTGTGCAGCGAGGTGATTCGGGTATACACACACACGTGTCCATTCTTTTTCAAATTCTTTTCTCATTTAGTCTATTACAGAATACTGAGCAGCATTCTCTGTGCTGCAAGTAGGTCCTTGGTCATCTGTTTTAAATATAGCAGTGTGCACATGTCAATTCTAAATGCCTAATTTATCCTTCCACTCCTTCCTCCCTTGTAACCATAAATTCAGAACATGCTCATTTAAAGTTAAGTTTTCTGAGGATCCAAACAAATTCCAAGTTGATGTTCCCTGGTCTAAGGCCAAACTGTGAGCCCTAAAGAGGCTCCTAAAGTCACTGAGGAACCCCACAGGTTTGCTCAAGAATTTAACATTATTAACCAAACCTAACAGCCTGGTTTCCCAGATCTATGTGCTTGTAGAAAGGAAGAAAGAAAGTGAAGTTGCTCAGTCATGTCCAACTCTTTGCGACCCCATGGACCGTAGCCCGACCAGGCTCCTCTGTCCATGGGGATTCTCCAGGCAAGAACACTGGAGTGGCATATGTGTGTGGGCAGGCGCAAGCTAAACACTGGATGAAATTGCCTGACAGGAACATCCTGAAAGGGGTTTAGAGAAGCAATCCCCAACTTTTGGCAAGAGGCTAGAACACTTACTACAGGACTCCACCAAGCAACGACAGTAGCCTTCCCTTAACCAAATGATGGGATCAACAGTCAGGCTTGCACCCCTATTCATTCATTAGGCTGAGATGTCTTACAAAATATCATGCTGGAATTTCTTTTTCCCAAAAGGGGAAGTAATTCTAGGATGTCATAGTAACAATCAAAATACTCACCCAAGTGAACTAAATGACCCTTCACCGCCGTTGCTTTCCTTTGCCCCTCAGTCCTGGAGCTGCTTCTGGAGACACTGACCATTTGTCCCTATTGAATCAGCTACCACCCTCCCTTGTGGGCAACAACTCCAACAGATATTGGCAAAACCCACAGCTCTTTCAGTCAAGACTCAAACAGGGCCCTTGGAACCTCTCCCCAGAACGAACCAACACCCTAAAGTAGAGAAGCCCCTCCAGGTTTGAAGCCCGTGACAGGGTTCCAGGGCTCAGGGCATAGAGCCTGTAACACGGCTAAGCGGAACTCATGAGGAAGCCCTGGGGCTGAGGGTGGAGGTCTGTCCAGGACCTGCAGGCCATAATCAACGCTGCTGCCCCTCAACACCCAGTTGTTCTTAACCCCCACCCTCTGCAAGCACTCACTCCTGCTGAAAGCAAAATCTCACCACAACCGACCTATGCAGCGCACGCTCCAGCATTCCAGCTGATACACACGCCAGTGCCTTCCTGCCTCCACCCAGGAAGGATGAGAGCCCACCTGGACAGTGATGCCCCAGGTGTCACCAAAAAACCCTCTTTTCTCCATAAATCTTAAAAGCTGACTTGGATGACACAGTGTTTTTTGAACACTTGACTTTGCTATGATACACAGTGGACCTCTGAACAACATCGGTTTGAACTGTGTAGGTCCTTTTATATGCATTTTTTCCAATAAACATACAGTACTACTGCACCAGACAATGGCAGTTGACTGACTCTCATGGAAATGCAGATGCCGAGGGCTGACCGCAGAGCTGTGTTCAGTTCCTCTGTCGCGTCCAACTCTGTGCGACCCCGTGGACTGTAGCCCACCAGGCTCCTCTGTCCATGGGATTTCCCAGGCAAGCATACGGGAGGAGGTTGCCATTTCCTTCTCCAGGGGATCTTCCTGACCCAGGGATCAAACCTGGGTCTCTTGCATCCGAATTTTCAACTGCACAGGGGGTGGGTGCCCCAAACCCCACACTGTTCAAGAGCCAATTACATAGGAAATCTGCTTCTCTGCTCTCCTCAAACCTCTTCACAGGAAGCCATCATCCCCCTGTGAAAACTTTTTGTCATAAAGGGACATAAAGTCTTCAAGGAAAAACTGAGGTTCCTCAAACTCAGGATAGATATTTAGGGAACCTGATCTTGAAACAAGGATAACACTTGGATCCAGGTACACTTTGCGGCATCCTGAACTTCCCCAAGCCAAAAACTAAGCCCCAATTATGAGGTTTTACTTGGGTTGGCTGGATACTCTTGAAACTGAATTCCAAATATCTCTCTTATGGCCAGCCTCTATGTGCTCTATGAAAGAACAAACCTGACTTTGTTATTTGGGAAGATCAAGGTGACGCAGTCTTTGAGAGTTTGAAGAGAAGTTTAACAGGCTACCGGCCCTTGACACCCTAGTGATCAGCTTCCCTTGTCCCTCTCTGTATGTGAGAAGACAGCGTCCTTGGGGACTCGGGGACTGTCGCTGACCCATCGAGTGTGACAGCGGGCCCTGTGGCTCGGGGACAGCCCCTTGTCTCAGCCACTACCGCTGCTGTCCTTCGGGTCACAGCCACCAGAGAAACAGTCATGGGACCCCTTTAACCGTCGTTGCACTCCAGGCAGCAGAAGCCCCCGAACAGGCACACACGCCACACTTGTCGGTCCGTCAGCCCAGCTCCGGGGAGACCTGCTGCCCGCAGCGCCCCACGCAGCTCCTTCACGTTGTCGCAACCCTCAGCCCCGCGCTCCGCTCCCCTCCTCCTCTGGCCAAGCGCCTCAGGCCTGTGCGGCCCCGCCAGTCACTGCCGGCTCCCCAGGGCTCCACGGGGGCCCCTGGACGCAGGGCAGGCTCGCCCGGCTCGCGGGCAGCTCCCCTTTGAGATGACACAGTGACCGCTGTGCTGGCTGTGCGGCCGTGCCTCCGCTTCTCCCGAGGTAGCGCCTTCCGTTGCGGCTCCTCGGGCCCAGTGGGCTGAGCTCCATGCTCTCAGTCAGGCTGTGCTGCAGCCAAGGGCAAGCCCACCATATTCACACCCATGGTCCATGTGTCTCTGGGGCAGCCAGGACCCTGGGATGCTTAGGGAAGCAATAAGGTTCCTTACCTCTAATGGGGCGACATTAAAAATGGCTCTTCTGTCTAAATCTAGTAGATGCCACACTCTCACCAGCCACCTTGGTCATCATCAAGACCCTGAGCGTGACCCATCCCAGACTTGACTCCCTGGAGGCTGAGAGAATCCACCTCACTGATATTTCCTGCTACAACACTGCTCTCAGAGGAACCACTGGCCAAACTTCTGTTGTGGTCCAAAGAGATGCTCCTCACAACGACAGTCTGAGAAGACTGACTAGAAATGCATGAAAACTGGCCTCAGAAAAAGACAAACAATATTGGAAATCTAGTGACTGTTGGTTCCATAAAAAGAACTCTAGCTTGAGCCAACTATCAATCCAGCTTCATGAGGAATTCTAAGATTTGCATTCCTTAGTACATGCACTAAACCATAGATCCACTGACAAAATGATAGCCTTCATGAACCAGCATTGGTGGGGAAGTATTAATAAGGCCTCAAAAAGTGCCTACCTGGCTTTTCCCACCTGTCCAAATACAACCCAGGGAAACTCACTTCCAGAGTCTTTGAATTGCCTCATGGACCGTCGGAGGTTTGGCAAATGCATTTCATATTGCTTCCCTCTCCTCACTGACTCAAACATGTTTGTCATGATCTGTCTTTTCTCACTGGACCAAAGTTTTGCCCTGAAGATAGGCCACTGCTTCTTCCAAGGCTAACATTTTGTTAGGAAAGATGATGCTTCCCTGGGGAACCCCTCTGAAACTTCACAGTGACCAGGGCACCCACGTTACCAGTCCAGAACTTGACTAAATGCACTGTTTGGCCGGTTTTACACTCTCACTGTCTTACATTCTCCAGTTCACAGGGCAACTCGAGTGCATTAATGGCAGTATGAAAACCCAACCGGCAAAACTTGCAGAGACTCCCCAACTACTGTGCCCAAAGCATTGCCACTTACCCCTCTCAGACCCACTCCCGTTGGAACTCATAAATTCTCACCCTTTGAGACAGTCATTAGACCTCAGGTGCACCTGAGACCTGCCTCTTTTGACCCAGGGCTGATACAGGGAGATATACTTCAAAGACCTGACTGCCTCTGTTGAAAATAATTGTGCTCTGGAAGGGCCATCTTTTCACAGCTGTTCCTGGGAGATGAAGAGCTTAAGCATCATGCCTGCAACCCAGAAGGACCCCCTTCAGCCCCTCTGGAAAGGCCCCAGTCAGGCACTGCTCACCAGCCTGTGCTGCCAGGCTCCAGGGAAGAGACTCTGGATCCAGGTGACACGCCCAAAGAGAGCACCCACCCCGGAATGAGGCTGCACACCAACTGGTGACCTCAAAGAAAAAATTTCCCAGACCTGAAGCAGACCACATCTGAGCGGATGTCAGAATCAGGCTTGCTGGCTGGTTTCAAATTCACACACATCTCTCTCTTTCATCTGGACTATTAACTGACTCTGCAATCTCATCAAAATTCATGGACTGGATTTGTAACCTGCAGGCTGTATGACTGACAGTCTTTTTCAAATGAAAAAGTCTCTGATAACCTAATATTGTAAATCAACTATACTTCAGTTTACATGAATAAGTCCTTGAAGTTTCCCTATTTGGGGGAAAAAGCCCATCAGCTATTGCTTCATGTTTATTGCTGGGCCGTGCCTTCTCAAGTGCTTACTTCTCTCTGTGTCTAGCGTGTCCTCGCTGCTTTCGCTGTTCTAAGACAGACTGCAGAAGGGAAATCCCTGAGAGCTCTGGCCTACCCCTCCTGTTACTGGAATGTGCCCTCCAGAGTCTTCCAATCTCTCTTCCAAGAGGGACATGATATCCAGGAAAGGTCCCCCCTGGCACTGACTGACAAAAAGCCACTGAATCCATTAAAAACGTGTTGATAAGCAAGGCTTTTAGAGAAAAATCTTCACCAAAGAGGGGAAACATGAAAATTAGTAAGCAGAAACCTTGTTTAACGCGAAGCCAGAAGGGGGCGCTCTCAGCTCTGCCGAGGGTCGGTCTCAGTCACGCCCAACCCTTGGGAGACCCCCGGACCGGCGCCCGCTCTCGGTCCGTGGACTCTCCAGGCAGGAGAACCGGGACGGGGACCTTGATCTTCCCGCCCAGGGAGCAAACCCAGGTCTCCTACACCGGAAGGCGCACTCTCTACCACCAGCGCCGCCCGGGAAGTCCCGAGGGCCTGCGGCGCAGCCTGGATCGCAGACCCCACGGGAAGGTGCCGACCTGCGCCCCAAGCAGGAGGGAGATTTTCTCCCCGCCCGGCAACAGCTCAGCCAATGAGAGGCCGTCACAGTGCGACCAATGGAAAGCCGCCACACTCCCGGCTCCCGGCTTCCTCCAGTGGGCTCTCTGTTTAGAACAGCCCTTCTCCTCTGTGACAGAGCTTTCTCTCTCTTGTTCTCTGCACTTTGTGGTTCACCTTAGTTTGCTCGTCTTACATTCCAGTTCTTTCCTGTTCCCGAATAAACCCACGTTGCCGGTAACAACTGGCTGTTTTATTATTTGAGCATCTTTACAACAGCTCTTCCAAGTCTTCGTTAGACGCTTCTCATCCTTGGCACCTGCTGGCAGCCTGTGTCTGCTGGTCAAGATCTTTATGGCTCTTCCAGTCTGTAATGTTTCGAGCACCCTCTATGAAACTGAGGTCTTGTCTCTGGACTGTGGAGAGTGCTGAGGATTCAGCCACAGTCTAAGGGTGGGTCTGGGAGTGGGCTGGGCCGCTGCTGAGGTGCTGGTTGGATCCAGTCCACACAGCCCTGCGAGCAAGGCCAGGGACTCATAAATACCTTTGCAGGTGGTTTTCCTGTACTTTACAGATCCCTGGTTCCCACCCCCACCAACAGTTCCCTTCCCAGCCCTTGAGCCCTATCTGATATACACAGCATGTCTAGTCCACGTGACTGTCTTCCTGGTTCTCAGACAGACCTGGCCCAGTCTAGTGACCACTGCAAGGGCTGGGACCAACAGAGGGTGCTTCCCACCGTGGCTTTGATGATTGCCTTCCTAATCCTGATCTCTGACTCCTCCCTGGGAATTCATGTGAGACTCTGGACACAAACCTACTAAAGGAGCTGTTGGCACAGCATGTCCTTTCTGGGAGCAGGGCAGATGGTGGGTCTGAGTTTCATCCTGATGGTGATGGAAGGTTCTAAACGAGGCAGATGAGCTGTGGCTCTGTCCCCTGGGGCACACATCCAGAGCAGGGCATCAGGCAGGCAGGGGGTGCAGTGTGGGGGTGTGGGGGTGAGCGTGGCCATGTAGGCTGGGGTGTGCACACTGCAAGGCTTGGAGAGAGCAGCGCAGGGAGAGAGGGCAGGCCAGGGCCACCTCCACCCATGCTGTCCCAGGAGGTGAGGACTGGACAGCAGGCCTGCCCGGGTAATTAAGAAGGGGCACGTGTCCCAGGAGGTGAGAGGAACACACCCCATCTGTGTGAGCTTGACCTCTTCAGTTTAAACGGAAAACGTTCAGGCCTCTTGCAAGCCCAGCCATGCCTCTCCCTCAACACACCACTTCGGAATGATGTGCTTCTTCTGGGACGGCCGTCCACGTGACCTGGCTGGCCCCCGTTAACAGCATGAGCTGTGGCACATGGACACCATGCTGGAGGCCCCAGTGGGAGGTGCTGGCTCCATGTTTACCAATTACATTTTAAGAGCTATTGTCAGATTGCTTTCCAAGAAGTCTACAGCAATTAACATGATCTCTTCTCCACACAGTCACCAGCACAGGGTGACTCAGACCCTTTAAAATGTTTGCAAAACCAACAGGCAGGACACACCTCTTTCCCTTCACTGGCTTTTTATAAGGCCATTTGATTTCTTTCTCTGTGAGTTGTCAATTCAGCCCTCCACTCACTTTTCCTGTTGGCTTGTGTCTCTTTCTTGTTAATATATAAAAAACCCTTTGTATGGGAAGGCCCTTCATCTCTCATGTGCATGTACACTCAGTTGCTCACCCGTGTTCAACTCTGCAATCCACAGACTGTATAGCCTGTCAGGCTCCTCTGTCCATGGAATTTTCCAGGCAAGAAGGCTGGAGTGGGTTGCCATTTCCTACTCCGGGGATCTTCCCAACCCAGGGATCAAACCCACGTCTCCTGGCAGGCAGACTCTTTCCCACCGCGCCCCCAGGGGAGCCCTTACCTCTCCCACTAGGTGCCAGCACGTCTCCCCAGCGCCCCCTGGCGGCGGCTGCTCCCAGCTGAGGTGGGTGCGCAAAGGCTGCAGACCTGCGGTTGCTTCGCACCCCTCCACCCAGCCTGCCTCCAAGGCTGCCACCCCCTCCCTCCGTTTTTTCCCCACAATGCTTTCTGTGTTTACACCGCTTTGCTCCTGGGTACCTTCTGGATTTGATGCCCCCTCCGCATCACGCTTCTGGTGGTTCTGTGCGAGAGGGAGGGAAGCTCGTGGACCAGATGTAAGACCTCAAGTCTTCCGAGGGCAGACCCTGCCAGCCTTGATCCACCAGGCTGACCCTGAAGACTGTGGGACAAGCCTACTTGCTGAAGCAGCCCAGATCGACTCCAGCATCCCCCGTGGGAGGCCGGGAGAGGGGCAGGGGCATGTGACAAAGCTTCTGGCAGCCCTGGGTCAGGTCTGCAGGCGACACAGCCATCGTGCCTCCTAAGCCCAGGGTGAGGTGGGCGGGTCTCACTGGAGGGCTATCCGCCTGGCCCCTCGCCCAGACTTTCATCTACAGTGAGTTCTCCTGGCAACATCACCCCCTTCCAGGCTGCCAGCCTCCAGGTCCCCGGGACCTCCGGCCTCCCAGCCCTCACTTGAGCCACCATGGGCAACCTCCCACCCTCCCCAGCCCTTGGTAGCCCAGATGAACCCACCTGGCACCTGCTGATCTGCCCACAGGAAACTGGACAAGGAGCCTCCAGGGAAGCCAGGCCTGGCTGGACCCAACCACATCCTGGCCCTGGGTGCAGGGGGCACGGGGCACACATGGGGGTGGCCGGCCAGCCCTGTGGTCACTTCCTGGCCTCCCGTTGTGGACGCACTGCTGACCACATGGCCCTCAGCTCTGTGCGCAGGGGTGGGGCAGAGGCTGTGGGGCACAGTGTCTCTGCCCTCATCTGCACACCACCCGCCCGCCGGCAGCCCCTCCAGGACCTCCTCTTTCCCACAGCCTTTCTCAGAGCCCTGGGAGCCTCCTCCCCAGACCTCTTGTGGAGTGTGCCCTTGGTAGGCAGGCCTAGCAGTCCCTGCTCCTCAGTCCAGGGTGCATAGGTGGCCACCACAGCAACAAGCTCAGACCAGCAGGCCCGGAATCTTCTGGGTCCAGGGAGGCAGAGGACGGCGCTGAGAGAGGAGACCCACGCAGTGGCCACGGCGGAGGGTCAGATTTAATGGTCACTCTATGGGGTGTCGTACATTGTTCAGAGCCCGGCACGAGCCCCCACTCCCCTCGACTGGGGACACAGCCGGTGTCTCAGACCAGACTCTGCACAGGGGGGCCAGCCCCCGAGCGCCAGCTATGTACAAGGGCCCGCCCGCTGGGCAACGGCAGGCTGCGCGCACAGCCCAGCGGCTGCCCCACCCTCGCTTGGGCCAGGCTGCGGGGGCCAGGCCACCATGGAGCAGGCGGCAGGGGTCTCACCTGCCAGGACCCAGCCCCGGCAGGCCCCGCCAAGACCCCGGGCCCCTGCACCGGGAGAGGCCTGCAGAGCTCGGCCGCCAAAAGCTGAGCTGGACAGCAGCAGGGAGCCGGGTGGATACAGGGGGCCGGGGAGCAGGCAGGGCCTGGCTCGACCCAGGGCACCCTCCAAGTGAAAGGAAGGCGTGTCCCCGCCGCCCCCGGGCACCCCCGCAGGGCGGCGCCGAGGTCAGGGAGGCAGGGGCGAGGGCAGCGCAAGCACAGACCATCAGGGACTCCTCCGGGGACAGAGCCAGGCTGGGCAGACGGGCCGCCCTGGTGCTGGTGATCGGATACGGCAGGGCTGGGGAGCTGAGGCAGAGGGTCCTGGACACACATTGAGCCGGGTGATCTACGCCATGACTAGTAACGTAGCACTTAACTAGTTAACTAGTAACGCTGCTTCCCTTTGAATTGTCTCAGGGGTTGTAGAAAATTGCACTTATTTCTATGAACCTGCAGAGGCGCCGCCCCAGCACTGAGCCTCCAGGCGAGGCCCGGGCAGCATCCGCCAGCCGCGGGGGGCTCCTCCGGGGCGCGGGGGCGGTGGCCACTGAGACCCGCGGTGCCGTGAGGACCGGAGCCCTGGGAGGGAACCTGAGCGACGTCTGAGATGCCCTGAAGTGGCCGTGAAGACCGGGACCCACGCAGCACCGGGCAGCCCGGCGCCGGTCTGAGGGAGCGGCCGGGCGGCGGTCCCGCCCCTCACAGAACGTCCTCAAAGTCCAGCAGCTTCGAGTGCTGGCGGCTCTTCCAAAGGCGGTACAGCCGGAAGTCAAAGTAGGTCTCAATCATCTGCTTCCCTGAGGCAGGAGGGGCGAGGGCGCGCTCAGCCCCGCCTCCGGGACACACACCCCCCCCCCCCCCCCCCCGCAGGGACGCCACCGGCGGCGGGCCAGCCCAGCTCACCTTGAGCCGACAGCTCCAGGGGCGACTCGAAGATTACCCTGTAAGGAGTCATGAGGGTCCTGAGGTTCTGGAAGAGCTGAAAGGAGGGAGTGGACTCTGAGTGCAGGGCAGAGCAAGAGAGTGGAGGGCAGAAGGCAGGCTGGGGAGCAGGAAGCCCCAGCTGGTGAGGCCAGGCACTGGGATCTCTCTGGGAGGGCTGAGAGGAAAAGGGAGTCTGCAGAGAAGCGGGGTGCTGTACCTTCTCCCCATTGGGGTTCCCCAGGACATAGCAGCCCATGACGTGGATGATATTCGGCTCAGGGTTCACTTTGCTCATCAAGCGGCTCAACCGCTTCCAGAAGCTGGTGGGGAAGGGGTGGTCACAGGCGGCCTCCAGCCTGACCCCCAAGTAAGAGGGGACATGGCCCCGCGGCAGACACCGCCCTCCGCACCCCAGCCCCCGGGGCACCCCCTGCTCACTGGATCATGTCCTCTTCCTTCTCCACTTTGGCAAAGGTGGCCACCTTGTTTTTGAGCAGGTACAAGTGTCCTGGGCCACCCTGTGAGAGTCTGCGGTTAGCGGGATGGGACTGCACGCTGGGGGGTGTCCAACCACTGTTCCCCCAACACATGCAGACGCAAACGTGCACGTCCCTGGAGGTGGCATCCTCCACCCCTGCCCCACTCCCGAGCAGGAAGGGCTGAGCCCTACCTGGCAGAAAATCAGCATCTTCCAGATTTTGGCCCCCTTGTGGTAGATATTCAGCTTCTTCTCTATCTCCTCTGGGGAGGGAGGGGTGTGAGTGCTGCCCCCACCATCTGTGTGCTCCCCCCACTCCAGCCCCGAGACCAGAAGGCAAAGGGGTCAGAGGGCACATACCCAGAATGTCCTCGAAGGTCGCATGCTCGTGGTCCTGGGGGAGACAAGACCCCAGGTCAGAGCCCCTCTCGGGCAGTACCCCCCACCCGACCAGAGATGGGGCTGGGAGCACTCATAGAGAGGATGGGGATAGCACCCCCACCCGACCCCGAGATGGGAGATAGGAGCACTCACAGAGGATGGGGATAGCACCCCCCACCCAACCCCGAGATGGAGCTGGGAGCACTCACAGAGGATGGGGATAGCACCCGCCACCCGACCCGGGATGGGGCTGGGAGCACTCATAGAGAGGATGGGGATAGCACCCCCACCCAACCCCGAGATGGAGCTGGGAGCACTCACAGAGGATGGGGATAGCACCCGCCACCCAACCAGAGATGGGGCTGGGAGCACTCATAGAGAGGATGGGGATAGCACCCCCACCAGACCCGAGATGGGAGCACTCAGAGAGAGGATGGGGATAGCACCCCCACCCGACCCCTGAGATGGGGCTTGGAGCACTCACGTAGAGGATGGGGATGATGGCGGGGTCGTCCCTGCGGATGATGGTGGGGATGTACTCGGCTTTGGGCACTTTGGAGGAGATGAGCTGCAGACAACAGGGGAGGCGCTCAGGGCCCTGGCCATCCTAGAGCCCCTCCACCCCGCCCCCACCGCGGAGCAGTAGCTGCACCGGGCCTCACCATGACCTTGGGTGGCACGAAGCCCTCAGTGTCGCAGGCTACAGCCTCCAGGCCCTTCTCAGTCTCCCAGTCCAGGTCCTCGAAAGGCTCGCCCAGGGTGCAATGGGAGCTCTGCAAGTCACTACCTGGAGGGCAGGACATGCCACCAGGCTGAGGATCATCTGCAGTACCCGCCCTGGCTGCAACCCCAGAGACGGGCAGGGGACAGAGCCAGCAAGCCATGTCCCAGAGGGTCCTCCAGGCCAGCAAGAAAACCAGGGCGGTTAAGAGAGCCAAGCTGAGGGCAAGCCGGGCTGCTGCCACCAGCTGGAGGCCACCTGGCGGGGAAGGCCATGGGCCCTAGGGCAAGGCCAGTGGGAGCCGGGGTGCAAGTATCAGTTCCAGCCCAGCGTGCCCGGGGTCTGGGCCAAGGAGAAATCAGGTACTGCAGGTCTCCGGCGTGAGGGGCACCGGGCAGGGTAGACAGCAAGCCCTGGCCCTTAGTTACCCCTACCCAGAAGACTGGAGGTGTCAGAGCGCCCCCCTCAGTCTGATAAACCGAGGTCCAGCGGAAGCGCAGAAGCCTAGCCATCCGGCTGCTGGAAGCCTGGGGCTGGGGGCCTAGGGGAGCCTCTGGGGAAGGTGGGCCGGCCTGCGGCGCCTGGCACCTACTGTCTCGGGAGTCGTGAGAGGTGTCGGCTTTCATGGGGGTGGGGTCGCTCCAGGACCGGCTGAAGCTCCGCTCGCGCCGCTCGGCGAACGCTGCAGTGAGAGCAGAACCCGTTAGGGACGCGGCCTGCAGCCACGGAAGGTGGCTGGGACTGGGGGCCGAGCAGGACGCAGGTCGGTGGGGTCTGGAGGGTGCAGGATGCCGCTGCAAGGGGACGGGTGGGAGAGGGGCAAAAGGCGGACCGGGCAGGGCCGGGGGTCACGGGCGGAGTCTGCGTGAAGGGGCAGGGCCCTGTCCTTGGGCGGACCCTCGGTGTGTGAAGGTGCCCGCTGGGGACACCCGCCTTGGGGGCGCAGAGAGCAGCACGCCAAGCCCCAGTCAGCCAAAAGCTGCGCCCCCCACCCGTCCGCCTTACTCTGGGCCTTACTCTGGGCCTTCACCCGCCGGCTGCCGACCATGCGCAGGTGTTTGCGGAAGTTCCTAGGGGTGGAAGCACGGGGGTGCTGGTGAGGGCTGCCAGGAGGGGTGAGCAGCCCATTCCCAACTCCGCCCCTTTCCGTCAGGGGTGCCCTCCCGGCGCCCCCAGCTCTCTCACAGGCCAACCCCACCCAGTCCCTCCCCTCCCCGAGCCCTCCCGCCCGCTGGCTGCTGGGACACTGGCAAGGTCATCAAGCTTCCTGTCGCCCCCCCACCCTCCTCCCAGGACAGCGCCCTCGGTGACCCTGTGCACTTGGTCTCCTATCCCTGCTGCCCACCCTTCCCTCCGTGCACCCAGGCACACTCTGACCACCTCCAACCTCCTTCCCAAGTGGTCAAGGGTTCCTGCTTCCCGCGCACGATGGCCAGGGCAGCACAGAGGGCCCCACCGCAAGGCGGGCTTGGGGCCAGCAAATGCCCCCACCCCTGATGTTGTGTCCCTAGGCCGCCTCAGAGGCAGGTCTCTTGAACCCCAAACTTTGTGTCCTGCCAAGGCCCCACTTGCAAGACGGACAGTCAAGCTTCCTGGACACATCTGAGGTGGG